TCTAATATCTGGATCATAGTTATTTTAGGGACTTTTGGATTGGCACGCGACATAGTGGACTGCTACATGTGACGTCCTTTTAAGGCATTGCCAGTGCTTTAAAAGGACGTCACGCGCAGCAGTCTACTATGTCGACGTGCAAATCTAAAGTGTCTTAAAAGGACGTCACACGTAGCAGTCCACTATGTCGACGTGCAAATATAAAAGTCACTAATGATGAAGACGGAAGCAGAGGTGGAAATTCTCAAATGTTAGGGAGTGACTAATGAAAATCTGCATCTGATTGGTTGACCATTCTTGCATTGCATTTGCGCTTAGAATAGCACGTATATAGAAACTCGTTTTTCAACTTTTGTTAATTTGTACATGTTTGATATGTATTGCTTTCACATTGTGAAAATGGCGCCTAGGGAGACCTCTTAGCTCTTTACAGTAAAAGTAACAATATTCATCCAACATTTTTATATATTTTTTGTAAAATTGATGAAAGACTGATTTTCACTAAACTATCCTCTTCATTACACTCATCTAAAACTCTGACTTTTAACTCAGACTATACTTCTCTGAACTTTGCTTTAATTCTAATAATCTGTTTCTCTTTGCTGCCACGGATGACTGATGGGCAGCCTTAAAACAAAAATAGTGTCGCCGAAATCCTACACAAAATCTTTACATAGCTTAAGCATGCGAAATGACACAATGGACGAATGAGTAATGTTGTATAAGGATTATAGTATTCTTTGAATATAGGACTGTATTTAAAATTAAATTAGAATTTAGAAAGCGATAAAGAAGATAAAATTTAAAAAAAAGTATTACAAGCAATGCTCAAAAAGTAGGAGAGCGTCTTTTATAATTTGCACTACGAATCATATTGTATAAATATTAACTTGTATTAATAATAATAATAAACCGATAGATTTATTGAGCGCATAATAAACCGAAGTTTCTCTATGCGCTTTACAAAGTAAAACAAACAAGCAAGTACAAGTATATTTAAATACTGAAGCAGGAGTAAATATAGAAATTGGAAGGCATGTCTTAACAAAAACTGTTTCAGGGCTTCAGGGAAGCAATTGATATTTTGTTGAAACGCGAATGCTTGTCTTTGAATATGGATATGGGAAAACTGTTCCTTTACTTCATTTATTTGACGAAACGAAATATAAAAGGAAAACCTAGGAAGCGAACAATGATGATTCAACGCTCCATTAAAGCCTTTGAATAATCGGCTAACCACAGCACCGCAATGGATGATTTCGTCATAAAATAAGTAGGTTAGTTCAGGTCTCGTCTTGCATGTTAAAAATAATATTTCTGAACCAGTAACGTATCTATCATTAAAATTTAAAAAAGGGGTTTATTTTAACACAGACTAGTTTTTGTTTTAATACACGATATGTTGCATATACAGGAACTTTTTTTATTTGGATGAAGAAGTCTTTTAACCAGCTGTAACTAATGGCTGTACATAAATAGATATTATTTTTGAAAGATATTCTGTTCTTAATTATTATAATGAGACGACGTGTTGGTATACATCTGCTTTCGTTCAGCTGCAATAATATTATCAAAAGCTTTTCTTATGAGTGATGAATGAATCCAATGCTAATTATCCTATACATTTATCACCGCGTGATTCAACACCTCCCCCATACACAAACGCACACACACACACACACACACACACCCACAAATACCTTCCAAAGTTCTGTCGACGATTCTTTTTTGAAGCCTTACGATGTATGGAAAATTGATAATTAAAAAAAATGGTTGTTGGGGCATTATTGAATAACTTGTTGGCAAATTTGAACCAATAATCCCCTCCCTTTTCAAATAGATGCTAATGCATGTGTTATACGAATTTCTTTATTCCACTGTTTTTTAAACCCCCCCCCCTCTAAATTACGTCTTTTTCTACTGCTACATGGCCAGGTGGCAGCTGTTCCTTAGTCGGGATTGGTAGCTTTTCATGATGGTGGTTTACACAACGTTTCTCTTCCCACAAGATCACTCTGGTTGAATGACGAGGGTGTGACAGTGTTTGGACTGTTTGAAGGAAGCTCTGCCTTGACTTCAGGCGGGTAGGGGCCGGTTGATGGGAGTAAAAGGGATGGCGGGTGTCCTCAACTTGTCTGCTGCGTTCAGTCCTACTTGCAACTGTTATGCGGACATCGGATGGAGCAATGCCGGTTAGGGTGTGCAAGCTGTCCAAATTCGTGGGCTTGAGGCAGTCAGTGACGCATCTGCAGCTGATCAACTTTCTTTGCATGTGATGATCTTTCCCATACAGGGCATGCATATTCTGTTGCAGAGTAGCACAGCGCAAGAGCAGTTGACCTCAGCGTGGAGGAATTGGCACCCCAAGACGACTTTGCCAGTTTGCGTAGGAGGTTGTTCTTTGTCCCGACTTTACCCTTCACCTTTTGAAAATGCTGTTTGTATGAAAGGGTTCGGTCAAGAGTGATTCCAAGGTAGACAGGGTGATCGCAGTGTTTCAAGGAGACATCGTTACATTTCAGGGACAGCTTCCTCCCAACATTGTGGTTGCGGAGATGCAACAAGCTAACTTGGGTCTTGGCAGCTAGGGTGAGCCTTCAGATGGTTGTTGTTGTAGTAGTCTGTCAGGTTGTCTAGGGGTGATCAAAGAGTGGCTTCTATCTTGTCTATGTGAGAACTCTGGGCTGCTATACCAAGGTCATCAGCATAGATGAAGCTTCTTGTCCCTGCATGGGTACACTGGGTGGTCGTTGGTGTAGACATCAAAAAGCACAGGAGCAAGAACACTGCCCTGAGGTAGACGATTTCTTTGTTTCCTCCATCTGCTGCGCTTTCCGTTGAGCTCAATATATAAACGTCTATTTTCCAGGAGCATTTGGATAAGCTTAGTCAGATGGGAGTCCTTTGTTATGGTATAGAGCATGTCGAGAAGTATACGGTGGTTCACAGTGTCGTAGGCAGCTGTCAGATCGACGAACAAAACTCCAGTCGGTTCATTCTTCTCGAAACCATCCTCGATGTACTGGGTTAGATTTAGCACTTGGCCAGTGCACGATCTCCCAGGCCGGAAACCTGCTGGCTCTGGTATCAGGTGTTGTTCTGTGACTGGCCCCAGTCTGTTCAGGATGAGGCGCTAAAAGAGCTTGAAGAGGTGGCACAACAGGGAGATTGGTTTGTAGCTCATTGCTTCGTTAAGGTCTTTACCTGGCTTGAGGATAACAATCACACGGGCTTTCCGCCAGATTTTAGGAAGCTGGGAGAGGGTTACGCAGTTGTCGAATAGAGAGAGTAGCCACTCCCTTATATTGTGCCCAAAATGTTTGATCTGTATTGTGTACATATGTCATCAAGACCAGCTGCCTTGCCATTCTTAAGGGAGTCGATAGCCGTCTGGAGTTCCAAGTTTTTAAAGTACCAGGTAGATTGAACAAAAACAACAACTATCTGGCATTAACGGTCGATCCAGTGAGAAGCAAAAGCAATTTGTATTATTACATAGTTTTCATATGACTCAGGGACTCAAATAACTCAGGGAGCACTTTCGGTATATGGCTAAAGCTCTTGACTCTCATACGAAATGTCCTTGGTTCTAACCTAGCTCGATGCTTACATCATTAGACAAGGTATTTGGCCCAAATTTGTCCCTCTAGCCCCAGGTGTATTAAGTGGGTACCCGACTATGCTGAGTTAATTTATGATTCGTAGAGCCCGCGGCGGGAGCTGGCTACGCAGTGTTAATAAGACCAAAATTATTTTATTTCAATGAATTTTTTGACATCCGAACTGATTTTCCCCCACAGAATGCGATACGCTATAATGTTTCGAAATATTGACCGCGAAGAGAGAAGGAGATATGACAAACACTTTAACAAAATCCTTGACGGTAACCAATAGTAGATAAAGACAAAAAAAATATTATAAGGGGCGTTCACACCCACAGAAAAAAGTGAGATATTAAAAAATTGATTATTGCATCGCGATCCAAAAACCTTTTTTTTGTGCGTGGGTGGACAGAAGAATTTCACTCATCATGGCTATCTAATTTGCAGTAAGTTTTGCGATTTTTTTTAGAATAGTCGCGATAGTTCGCCGGGCGCTGTGTGTGTAAATGGTATTGAGAATCAAAAATCGATTTATTTGATTCCAGGGCCCCGTCTTACAAAGAGTTGATATCAATCGTAACTTATTTGCGATTGATATCAATCGTAACTATGTACATAAGATATAGGAGACTGCAAACTTGCGATTGATTGGAGGACTTACGATTGATTTGGATCGATCATAACTCTTTGTAAGACGGGGCCCAGGAGTCCAAGCGCGCATACATCGTCGAGATTCACGTACAGTATGCGCAGTTCGGACGTTCTAGCCGTCGAGTGGGAACTCTCCCTGTATGTAAATGGTCGCCAAAAAACAAAATCAATCTTTGCATCGCGATCCAATTTGTACTCATTGTTATGTTTGAACAGGCCTATAGATGAAAAACAACTGCCATTCAGTGACTAGGAATTTATTGGTGATTTGTTTCCGGAAGCATTAAAACTAAAACGGAAGTATTTTTTTTAAATTCTTAGCTATAATCATAAATGTTATTATTTTTACAGACAACAGAATTTAAAATGGCTAGAATTCAACACGTCTTCCATAAAGTGTATTGACTCAGCCGGTGCTGACTCAGTTGTTGCCTTATAAGAGCTATAAAGCTGAGAAAATACGAGAAATATTAGCTTCAGTAATATGGTTATGATAACAAATAAACTCTCACGGAAACTAACAAAAGTTACACTGAATGTTCAAGATTGGCATGTGCCAAGTGGCATGTTCCAAACGATTATAAAATGAATAGGGGCTGAGTAACGAGCTTACAAAGATAAGGCAATCCAGGTAAGTAGCCTTTACAAAAGTTACTACGTGCAAATGCGAGTTGTGGTTTTAGTGAAGATGAATTCCAGCAAGTTTTTATTTTACTGGTTCAAACAAGCTTCTCACATTACCCATGTTCTTCATAAACTTCACTGGCTTCCTATCACTTCTAGCATTCCCTACAAAATCCTCCTCCTTACTTTCAAGACTTATCATGGTTTCGCTCCATCATATCTTTCTGAACTCCTTCCTCCATACACTCCTGTCCGGACTTTGCGATCTGCTTCTCAATCTCTCCTCTTTCGGTCTCACACTATTTCATACAAACAATACGATCAAGGTTCTTTCGTTTATGCAGCTGTATTTCCTTGGAACAATCTCCCCCTTCAAATTCGCAATGCTAGTTCTTTAAATACATGTAAAACAATGCTAAAAACACATCTCTTCAGTCTTGTTCCTGAAAACCCCTTTCGACCTAATATGCCTTTTATTTTTTGTAGATTAACGTAGTGTACTACGTTGTAAGTGATTTGTAATTATGAACATGTATTATTTTTATTTACAAAGGTTTAATGGTAATTGAATTGATGTAATTTGTAATGCAAATTCTGTTTCCTTTACTTATCAGCTATTTTCTTCTAAACCGCTTAGAGGCAATTGGCAATTTGCGGTATACAAATATCTTATTATTATCATTATTTATTACAGCAGGATAAACAATCCAGAATGAAATATAGCCACATTCTCTTGACTTACGATGCCCATACCAGAGCTGAAGATTCGCCATAACGTAGCAATAATCTGATCACAGTAACGGTTCGATTTCTTGTCTCTTTTTTTTCTTCATTCAACCAATTTGGTTGTTTAAGTATGTAAACGGCATTAACGTAACCTCCATGAATGCAATTGAAAATCATCAGAGAACACCCGAGAAGGATCGTTTTTTTCCGCCCGTCTAAAACATCTGCTCACCCACTCCCTTCATCCATGAATTGAAATTGTCCATGCAAATACTTGATTAGGATAAATTCTTATGACTATCAGACTGTTTGTTTACTTACAGAAAAGTGTTGTAAACGTAGGGGAACTGCCTTTTTCTACCCCGCCCCTTTATCTATTCATGAGTCTGTGGTTTTTTTGTTTTTTTAACTCGGTGTCAGGGTGAATTTTCACTTCAAAGAAAACATATTTCAATATTTCGTGATATCTGCACTGAGTATTTTTCTTGGGCCTTCGATTTCCTGGATAACCTAGAATGAGTTTTGTTGCAAGACAGTTTGATGTTTAATGGTAATTCTTCAGTGAATCACGTCGCAGAGAGTAAATGAAATGAAACAGAAATATTCATTGTATATCTACCAGACTACCACTATTTGTTTATTCCACCATGCTTATACATGATGGGGCGTTTTTAGGGATGAATGGATGTTGGCTGAGTGGGTATTTGGTTGGGGTTAAGGGGGCGTACTGAAGCGGGGCATGGCGGGATGGAGGCGAAGTTCTATCCTTGGCAGCTACTGGTAGCTGTATCTATTTTACTTGGTCGGATAGGATTGGTTCTGTTGTTGAGCCGGGTCTTGTTGAGAATAACTTGGGGCAGGTTCCGCTGGTTGGCCCGGTATCTGGCCTGCTGGAGGGTAACCCTCTTGCTGCTGCTGCTGTGTTGGTGGTGGTGGCGGGTACCCCTGCTGGCCGGCTTGTTGTGGTGGAGGGTACCCCTGCTGGGGCGGCGGGTACCCCTGCTGCCCGGCTTGTTGTGGTGGAGGGTACCCCTGCTGGGTCGGAGGGTACCCTTGCTGTGGTGGAGGGTAACCCTGCTGACCCAGAGCCCCGACAACGGTCGTATTTCCCCCGTATGTTGTGGTAGTGATTACTCCTACAGGCGCCGCCCAGGGCTGTATCACCACAACTCGCTGGTGATCAAGGAGGGGAGAAATTATGTTTAAAAAATGTAATGAATCATTTTTAGAAAGAGACAGAAATGAAGGGTATAGAGACATATAAAGATATTCTGAAAGCGGAAGGGGAGAGAGAGAGAGTGGGTTGGGGTTTCAAGTAGTTATAATTTCTGTATTTCAGCATGTCAAAGATGTTGGGTAAACGAACAAAACAACCAAAAACGTAAGTAATTATTCAGAAGCTGCAAGAACTCTGCTTCAACAAGTACTACAATAACATTTTGATTTTTTGATAAATGTTATACGAAAAGTAATTTGATATTTTCAAGGCTTTGATACAAATTTGACTTAAATAAATTTTTTTTTGTGGATGAGAGGAAAAGTCACATAAAAAAATCTAAGCTTGTTGTAGGGGATAGCCCCGGTTTTATTATTATGTTTCCCTTTCAATTTCCCTTCTTGACTCTGTAGTGTACCTTTTGAGGACTACATGATGAATTACATGTTTATGTCTTAAAATTTCATGAATATGCTTATGATTTGCCATTTTCATTTTGTTTAGTTCGTATAATCATGAAAACTGATCCTTAATATTATTATTTGTAGTGAAATCATTGAATAAATCAAATCAAATCAACTATTAATGAAAGAGAGTAAGTGATCTGCATAGTTACCGCTGATCTAGCAGCCATGATGTCAGAGATCCGGCCACGCCCCTCGTGTAGTTCTTGATACTGTGAGATAACACACAGCAAACATACGATCTAAAACAACACAACAAAAGGTAAACAGGTTTTTTAGTTGGTAAAAATAGATCCAAACGACTCATGTTCGTCAAAAGCAATGCTAAAACATTCCCAGAAAAAAAATTAGTGTTGATTTGTGCTCGGTCATAATATTACAAATAATTATTATTAAAAAAACAAAAAAACAGGAATACCCCGTTCGTGTATTGTGCATATAAAATTGTGTTTATGACACACCTATGGGCTATCGAATATTTTTGAAATCATTACTCCAGCTCCTAGAACGTGTTAGGAAGTGATTAGTGCAGAGTGTGTACTGTTTATTCTTTCGTTTGATTCACAAGTTGATGACTTGCAAATTACAATAATAACTATAATCATTTAAAGGGGAAGTCCACCCTGATAAAAAGTTGGGTTTCAAAAGAAGCAGACAGATTAGAGAAAGGGATCATTGAAAGTTTGAGCAAAAGACCGATGAGAACATAACAAAGTTGTAAGTTTTTAAAGTGTAATCAATGAAACACAATTTTTTATTTCCGCTCAAGAAAAGTTTCAATCATATTCATCATAAATATAATCATGGCAAAATATGTTTTTATACAACCCCTGTATTAAAAAAGTCTTTTCCGTCATTAATAACAAAGAAAATTAGAGTTTATGATATTTTTCTGTACAGCTTAAATGGGAGAGGAGCTCGCATGATAAATCACATTACTTTCAATTTGTGTTTCACTGATGAAAGCTTCAAAAATTCGACATTTAAGAATGTGCAGTTAACAACTAAATAAATCATACCCCTTGTCAATTAGATGGCTTTTTCGTAGCTGGTTGGATGCTTTTAAATGTAAGCCTTACATTTTCACATCCTTAAGAAACAAAAATCAGGATGAATCAATTGTTCACATACTTGAAAAACTACTAAACTTGGTGAGGGTATGAATAATTTAGATGTAAACTTAATCCTTATGGGCGTTGTCTAAATGCAAGTGGAAAGTAATACCTCGTAAACCTTCAAATTGTCACGAATCTTGTAATTTTGTATTCTAAAACGGCAGTTTTTATGGTTTCCTTTCATGAAATGACCTAAACTGAAACCAGTAAAGCAGCATATAAAATCAATTGATAATAATCCTCTTGATTTATAGTCTGTTTTGAAGAAAAGTTAACTGTGGCATCAAAAAGAGTCACGGCATGGATTAGGGAAAATTTTCTCGTTCTTAACACTGAAAAAACTTGTCTCGTGTTAATCTCAGGATAATCGAATCTGCAACTGTTTTATTGAATGGCATTTTTTATAAAAAGAGTTCAATTCACCAAATGCTTATAATTTGTGATAGATGAAGAATTGAAATGATCTAAAACAAATCGAAAACGTAAGTAAACTAACCCCAAAAAACGTTGGCATACTTAAGAGAGCAACGAGTTTTTGGCCTAAACAATCCTTAAAGTAATTTTATAACATTCTAGTGTTGCCATGAATTGATTTCTGCTCTGTTGTATGGTCGAAAACATTTCTTTCCCATACAAGTAAGCTATTACAAATTCAAAAGAGGGCCGCAAGAATAATATTGAACGACATATGACACACCGCCGGCTGACTTGCTCACAAGTCTTAAATGGATGACACTAGACGTCGCATTATGACGACATACAAATCAAATCATAACTTAGCACCTTCTTACCTTCAGGTAGGGGTAGTTGAGTTTTGATGCAGAGGGCGCAACACAAATGATTTTATGCCAGATAATAAAATAAACTGAGTGTCAAATTTAAAAGAACATACAATTTAAATGACAAAATCATCTATGTTTGATCAAAATCGGTTCATAGATAATATGAGTAGAAACGTTTGATTTATGTAGACCATGTTAACATGACAAATATGGAAGAGGACAATACTTACGTTGAGAGAGGTGAAACCGATCCAGAAAAGAAAATCGATGATCAGAAGAACAGCGGCAAAACCCTTGAATGAAAGGACAACACACTTATTAGTGGATCCATTAAAAATACATACATCGGTGTGTATATTTATTTATTATTTATTTATTAAAACATCTTTAAACAGGATAACATTGATCAGCTCGCAGGCCATTTTACATAATGGTCCTGCATAAGGATGGAAAATACAAATTTAAGAACTGACAATAAGAGTAGTTACAAACAAAATAGCAGTTTTATACAAATGGTAAAAAAAAGAAAACAACACAAATAGGAAAAATAAGATTAGGAAAAAACGAAAAGAGGAGAAAAAAGATAAAATACTGCAATATGACATTAAAATTATGACATTTTTACATTAGAATTATATAACAATGAAGTTAATATACATTTCATGTCGAGATTAAGTCCAATGAATTGTGAATATAGTTTGTATTGCATAATTATAAAAGATAAATATCAAATTTAGGACGTAATGTAGGTATATGAAATTTCTAGGTAATTGGGTTAGCAATAATTTTAGTTATTGCATATAATGTTGTAGTAGTGAGGAGAAACGGCAGTGATTTTTTTTTTATCGATTAAAGGAACACTTTTTATATTGGTATTTAAAACTGTCTCATGAATTGGCATTTTGGAAATCATTGGGAAACTTATTCCAATTAACCGATCCAGCATACTTAAAAGATTGTTTAAATAAGGTTACATTGGGTTTTGGCAATACTACATTAAGAGAGTTTGCATTTCTTGTATTTAAGGCATGGCGGTCTATATGAAGATCCCGGTTCCAAAATGTACTACATCCATAAATCGAAGTTCTGAGAAAAACACGATTTAAAAAAATTTATCATAGTTAACAATATCAGTTTGGAATGATAATTTTGCTGATTATACTTTTGTATGATACAAGTAAGAAACCACTGTTTAAAACAAATCTAAGTCTGCACAAATATTTTTCATGAATTTATGTTTTTTAATTTTTGTGGATGTAGTACCTTTTGGAACCGAAATTCTTGCATATTGTATGCAGGTAACAATGCATACCTTGAATAGATAAACTACCTGTTGGAACCGAACTGATTTTTAGATACCATGTTTTACTTGTTGTGTGGAAATTCAGCTTTTTGGAAGTGTCAGTGTATGAGGCTATTGGAAATGTTATACAATTAAAGAAATTAAGTATGCGGGTAGAGCAGGCAGTGGATTGGATCATGTTCATTTCCTTTCCCCTCTCCTTTTCTCCCCCTTTCTTGGGGAATAATCTAGGCGGGGGGGGGGGGGAACCTAAGAAAGAAAAAAGGGGAGGGTGGAGCAGGCACGAGGGTAGTACCGTCTTCGTTTCCCTTTTCTCTCCATTTTCCCTCCCACCCTCTAATACCCTGTAGCTACGCCAATGTGTATAACACTTACCAGTACAGCCAGCCAAATGATCCAACTTATTAGCTGAAAGAACAGTAGAAGGCCGAGGAGTATGACGTAAGGTAGGAGTAACACCTTATTATCCTGTGTAATAAACGTAGATAATGCATTAATTATAGGATCACTTATGCTACGGTCACAAAGGTTCGTACGAACGATAATTTCGTACGAATCTCCCTGTTTTTCCATTGTCTTCCCGAATTTCCATTGTCTGAAAATCGTTCGTACGGCGTTTGTAGCAGTTCGTAACGGCATTTGTGACCGAGGCTTAAGAAACACGGTGTTATTAGTAACACCTTGTTATCCTTTTCTGATATAGATCATAGTCTAAAAGGACACGATCATAATATGAACACTATAGAACACGGTGATAGAATAAATACTGTATTGTCCGGCGTAATTAATCTTAATGTTTATATACGATTATTTATTTTACGAAAATATTGCGACATCCGGAAGTGTCCAAACAAACTTAATGTACAGGTTTACACCAAAATAGTGACTTCTTTATTAAACATATAAATCCTTCCCGAAGATTTCTTAGGGCTGGACTAGGTAATAAAAATGAAATGAATGCTTGAATAGAGCATAGAGGTGTCGTGGTCGAGTGGATATGTCACCGGACTGTGGATCACAAGGTCCGCGGTTCAAGTCCCACTGCGGCACTAATGTCCTTTGGCAAGACATTGATCTACATTTGCCACTCTCCACCCAGGTGTTAAAATGGGTACCCGGTAGGATGCGAAAGCTAATGTGGTTTGATTAGCAATGGCGCTTGTAAAATGGCGACTGGCTGGAATGCTCCCCAGGGAGTGGAGAATGTGCATAGCTTGTATGCGGGTAAACCTGAATCCGATAACCGGGGTAATAATATGTTCCGCGCCTAGAAACGTAGTATTAGGCGCATTATAAATGTGAGCTATTATAATATGAAATTGTTGTTTTAAACAATCGAATTCCAATGAAGTTAACGTAAGTGAGGATTTCAGATATATTAGATACCAGAGCGCCTAATTGAAAGAACAACACAGTAACGGGAGGGGAGAAGGGGGGGGGGGGGGAGGTAGATATTATTATCTTTATTTTGCATGTCAACCATAGCTATATATTGTTTAAATATGACACCAGTTATGGGTTGTCAATATCAGTACACTCATTTTAACCATGCCACACAGTCTATATTTGACCACATGGACACAGGTCAGACAGGGAGAGAGAGAGAGGATGATGAGGTAATGAATGTGTGTGAGAGAGAGAGAAAGATATAAGTAGGACAGAGACACATTGAAATATATTTTGTCGCTATAGTTATACCGAGCGTGGTTGATACCGAATGGATTTACAAAACGGAATGTTGTTTTCCAAAAGTGGCTAACCACGAACTCCATTATGTTATAATATTCTTTAATATATTAAAGGATTGAGAATCAAAAATGTTCTAAAGGATTCATCAAAAACGGATGTTTCCATATCCATGCTTGATTCATGCAATTCTTCATTTCCTGAATTTTCACCAGTATCAGAGGATACTGTCAGAGTTATAATAATGAAATCTCCATCAACTTCATGTAGTCTCGATCCAATGC